CTTGCACACTTTTTTCTTTATTTTTACATTCAGAATGCTTTAAAAATTCAATTTACAAGACAATTGTTTATAATAAAATTCTATTCAATCGGTAGACTCATAACGATTGAAAATAATGTTGTTGTTTGAGTTTGGGTTTGACCAATTCATAAAAAAAAAACAAAAAAAAACTAATTAAGACATGCGTGTCTGTCAAACTTAAACAATAATCTTTGTCAATTTTATTTTTCAGTCTTTATGATGGTGGATACTTGATCTATCTCTTACTGTTATATCCCCGGGCAACGCCGGGCTCTACTGCTAGTTTATTTCTATAGCGAAGAAAACGGCGACTTACCTCGTCAAACCAAGCGACAGCGTGTCACGTGTCGCGTGTATTCTACGATGGAAAATGTAGCGAAAAAGAAAATTACTTACCAAACAAAAGGGTACATATTCCGCATGACATGCTGAAAATGGAATATTTGAATTAAAAAACAAGTCCGTCACAGGAGTCGCTATAAAAGTATTTTGATATGCAAATTACTGAACATCCTCTCTCAGCTGTCGATGAATGAAAAAAAAAATGTTCGGCAGTTGGTTGTTCTCGAATTGACAGGAGAAAATTCGGGTATTTTGGCTACCGCGTTTGTTGGAGAGTGAGTTATTTTTCTGACTGGTTATACGCATTGGGATTTGTGAGATAGTGCCGGCGAATCGAATTTTCAGCATTTCTTTCTGCCCCCGATATTCGAGTCTGTACTTACAGTGATTTTTCTTTGTGTTGTGGAAGTAATCTGCGACAAATACATACCTTTTCCAAGAGTAATTGTGCTTAAATGATTACATCTTAGAATTTCCAAGTTATAAAAATTGTTATCATACAAAAAAATTCCTAGCAAAAAATCACATAAATTGACAAAAACAACTGTTAGTAATGAAAACTTGGGAATCCAGAATTTCAGGATTGCAGGTCCAGATCTGGCTCAGAATATTTTTAATTTGCTCACAGAGTCAGACTGATTCCAAAATGTTATGATATATATACCTGTAAGAGTAAAATTGAAAACATGGACAATTATATTTTGAAATACTGTAATTTGAGAACAGTAATTTTTTCATTTAATATAGAGTTATTGAAATTTAGAGAATTGTGTCCATTTAAGTTGAAAAAGTGTGACACAGTGACACACTGATATTTTCATTTATTATATAGAAGAAAAGATTCTCCCTCTGGCAGGATTCAAACTGTGTCACCCTTAACAAGAGAAACAATTATCAGATCTGACATACTTTAGACTATAGAATCTCCCACAACACAATCAGCCTTACCTCTTTGTAGGAAATGCACTCTTCCTATCTGGTAAGCCAAATTCTACTTTCAGACAATATAACAAGTATTCATTGGTCAATCACCTCCAATCTGGCTTACTGATTGGTCAGTTCCGACCAATCAAACTGCCTGCACGCGACCAATCTGTTTTCCCGCTCATATGCTGGGAGCCACTCAGCCATTATAAAAACCGAACATGTGTGAACCTTTCGAGTAGTAGTTACCAAGTTTCAAGATGTAACCTTCACCGACTCCCGTCTTAGTCATTGCTGACCAGACGTTAAAGACAATTACCAACTTTAGACAGTCAAATCTCCACACCAAGAGAGATGCCCATCAACTCCACCACGCCAGTCTAAACTCTGACTTTGCCGCGTTAAAATATTCACTGACTCGGTAACCTTCGAGCACATTCTATCTCTCTCTAGAACATTTTCTCAAACTTCACTTACTATACTTTTCAAAGTGATATTTCTCACTACATAACAAGTATCAGTAACTAACAATCCATTTTTTCTCAAGCAGATAAAGGTACGCAACTTTGAACAACTTTGAATATTTGTATAAGTCTATATACAATTGATGAACCCGACGTTTGTCGTTCGACGTTCGCAACAAATTGATGACCCCGACGTTCGTCGTTCGACGTTCGTCGTTCGACGTTCGCAACAAATTGATGACCCCGACGTTCGTCATTCGACGTTCGCAACAAATTGATGACCCCGACGTTCGTCATTCGACGTTCGCAACAAATTGATGACCCGACGTTCGTCTTTCGCAACAAATTGATGACCCCGACGTTCGTCGTTCGACGTTCGCAACAAATTGATGACCCTGACGTTCGTCTTTCGCAACAAATTGATGACCCCGACGTTCGTCGTTCGATCGTTCGCAACAAATTGATGACCCGACGTTCGTCTTTCGTTCGCAACAAATTGATGACCCCGACGTTCGTCATTCGACGTTCGCAACAAATTGATGACCCCGACGTTCGTCTTTCGCAACAAATTGATGACCCCGACGTTCGTCGTTCGACGTTCGCAACAAATTGATGACCCCGACGTTCGTCTTTCGCAACAAATTGATGACCCCGACGTTCGTCATTCGACGTTCGCAACAAATTGATGACCCCGACGTTCGTCTTTCGCAACAAATTGATGACCCCGACGTTCGTCGTTCGACGTTCGCAACAAATTGATGACCCCGACGTTCGTCGTTTTCGCAACAAATTGATGACCCCTGACGTTCGTCATTCGACGTTCGCAACAAATTGATGACCCCTGACGTTCGTCTTTCGCAACAAATTGATGACCCTGACGTTCGTCGTTCGACGTTCGCAACAAATTGATGACCCCGACGTTCGTCTTTCGCAACAAATTGATGACCCCGACGTTCGTCGTTCGACGTTCGCAACAAATTGATGACCCCGACGTTCGTCTTTCGCAACAAATTGATGACCCTGACGTTCGTCATTCGACGTTCGCAACAAATTGATGACCCCTGACGTTCGTCTTTCGCAACAAATTGATGACCCTGACGTTCGTCGTTCGACGTTCGCAACAAATTGATGACCCTGACGTTCGTCGTTTTCGCAACAAATTGATGACCCTGACGTTCGTCATTCGACGTTCGCAACAAATTGATGACCCTGACGTTCGTCTTTCGCAACAAATTGATGACCCCGACGTTCGTCATTCGACGTTCGCAACAAATTGATGACCCCGACGTTCGTCTTTCGCAACAAATTGATGACCCCGACGTTCGTCGTTCGACGTTCGCAACAAGACCAAGCTGGACAAAATGGTCTCACAGATTGATGAATGTTCCAACAATCTTTGAAGAAATTTACACTTGTTTCTTTCTTTCTTCTCTCAGTATATATTACATTCTTTCATTCAAAGTTTGTTTTTACTTTCTTTCTTTCTAATCATATCTGTTGTAGGGCTCTCCCCTTTTTACATAAGATTGACTCGTCCAAAGTATACTTATACTGAGAGAGAGAATACCTGCTGTTGAGATACGTCGAGATACAGTCTCGACGTCTGTCGAACTCTCTACTTTGTCAGAGAGGAACCCGGAGGAGGCTTTGCCGAAGGGCAAGGTTTCGTCCGGGGAGGTAGACAGTTCCCTAACCCGCTTATGCGGGTTCAAAGGGTATATTTTTGGCCGATCCTACGGGCTCAGAGCAACCCACATTAAACTCGGCCTTGTGCCACATATATTCCTCGTGGGTGGGATATTCAATACCAAGATACATGGAGATACGTTGAGATATGTTGAGACAGGTTGAGAGATACGGAGACAGACACAGGATGTTCTCAGAGAGTTATACAAGAGTCCAGAGAGAGAGAGAGATTATTACGGCTTTACTTACAGAGACTTGTACATATACTCTCTACTAACCCGCACTCCTGGACTACTAATGTTCACTTCAAGCCTGTATTCTTACGTTTAATACACTTATTTTTGCGAGGAAAGTTGGCTCCCTGAGCCGCGCTAGGAAGTTTTTCTCCCCTGAGTCGATCCTCCAGATATACAAATCCACAATTCGCCCTTGCATGGAGTATTGCTGCCATATATGGTCTGGCGCCCCTTCTGTTTGCCTCAGGGTTCTTGATAGGCTCCAGAAGCGGATATGCAATATGGTTGGCCCTGCCCTGGCGTCTCGTCTACAGTCACTTTCTCACAGACGCACCGTCGCCTCCCTCTGTCTGTTCTACAAATACTTTCATGGAAATTGCTCCGAGGAGCTGCATTCGCTGGTTCCCAGACTTCATGAGTTCAAGCGCCCTACGAGGCTGGCATCCCGCTCTCACCCCTTCACTGTCGAAACTCCTAAATGTAGCCGTCTCTTCTACTCTAATAGCTTCATGTCTCGCACCTCTCGCCTGTGGAACTCCCTTCCCTTCTCCTGTTTCCCTGTGAGTTATAATCTCCAGCTATTCAAGTGTAATGTCAATCGACATCTCCAGTTGTCTACTACCCTCATCCTATCTTCTATCACTACTATCTGATCTTCCTATTTTCTGTAGCCTCTTGCGTCCTGGTGGCTTCCCGCCTTGCTTGGGGTGAAATGGTTAAAAAAAAAAAAATCTCAATTACTGGCGTTGCTTATTTATTTGTGCAGGATTCCATTGATTGATATTAAATAACTGTTCAGTACATTTGACAAATGACTTGACTGGAAGAGGTTTTCACAAAGATGTCATCTTCTAAATTTGTTATTACTGAAGATATTTTTGAGTCTTTGAAATTGTAGATAGAAATATAAGCACAGAAATATAAATCAGAGACTATATATATATATATATATATATATATATATATATATATATATATATATAAATCATGGAATGTTTTTTCAGAGCAGGAAATAAGTTTATTTGAATATTTCTTATCACGTTATATCAAAAAGTAATGAAATATAAATTGTTGTAACTTGGTAAATGTTTATATGTACTATACTGAAACATTTATGACAAAGTCCAAAGTTTTAGATTACTTGCAATCCAATTTTTTTTTGCAATTTTATTTCTATGATAAATGGTAACTACAACTTCTAATATAAAAAAAAAAAACAAAACCTTGGCATAAAATTTTTATTGTTAATAGTTTGAACTGGTGTACAAGTTGGTGTATTGAAGTTCTTTCCTATGCTTATCTGATGAATTAGATACTCTTTTCACAACTACCAATCAAAACAAGAGGTTCGGTTAATATATTTGGAGAAGGGCCGAAAAAAACAAATTTGTAGATAAAAATCTACACTACCCTTTGTAATAGACAAGGAGAGAAGTAAATTTGGAAAAGAGATAAAGTAGGAGAAAAAGAAAGAAATAGGAAAAGAGAAACGATAAGGAAAAAGAAAGAATGAAAAGCAAAAAGAAAGAAAAATGAAATAGAAAGAAGAGTAAGTGGACGATAAACGCAATTGATGAAAGGAAGAATTAAAAAGAAGAGAAGAAAGCAATAATGCGAATGTCAGAAAAAGGAAGAAGAAAAAAATAAGTGGAAAAGAAAAGGAAAATAAAGGCAAAAGATGAAAGAAAGAAAGAAAGAAAGAAAGAAAGAAAGAAAGAAAGAAAGAAACACTGGGAATGTCAGAAAAAGAAAGAAGAAAAAAGAAAGTGGAAAAGAAAAGGAAGATGAAGGCAAATGATGAAAGAAAGAAAGAAAGAAAAAAAAGAAAGAAAGAAAGAAAGAAAGCAACACCTGGAATGTCAGAAAAAGAAGAAAAAAAAAAGAAGAAAAAATAAGTGGAAAAGTAAAGGAAGATAAAGGCAAATGATGAAATAAATAAATAAATAAATAAATGAAAAGGAAGATGAAGCCAAATGATGAAAGAAAGAAAGAAAGAAAGAAAGAAAGAAAGAAAGAAAGAAAGAAAGAAACACTTGGAATGTCGGAAAAAAGAAAGGAATGTCGAAAAAAAAGAAAGAAAAGAAAAAGAAAAGAAAAGTGGAAAAAAAAAGGAAAGATGAATGTCAGAAAATGATGAAAAAAAAAAAAAAAAAAAGTAAAAAAAAAAAAGATAAAGGCAAAGATGAAATAAAAAATAAAGAAAGAAAGAAAGCAACACCTGGAATGTCAGAAAAAGAATGAAAAAAGATGAAATAAAGAAGAAAAAATAAGTCGAAGAAAAGGACAATAATGTTTGAAACAAAATAAATGCGACAAAAGCAGGAAGAATAATAAAATTGAAGAAGAAATAATAAAAAGTAAAATGAATGAAAATAAGAAAGAAAGGAATGAGAGTCTGATAAAGACAACATAATGAAATATTAATAATCTGGGAATAAGAATGAGAATAAAATTGAAAGGATGAAGGAAAGAAGATATAAAAAAAAAGAAAGGAATTAGAAAAAAAAAATCAAATGAAAAAATACAGAAGAAAAAGAAGGTGTATGATTGAATAAAAAGGATGAAATGAATAGAAAGCGAGAAAAAAGAGCGAAAAAAGAAGGAAAAAATTAAATGAAAAAAAGAGAAAGCGAACAAGAAAAACCAAAATAGTTAATGAAAGAAATAAAGGGGAGATAATGAAGATCATATTGGCTTTGATCAAATTGTAGATAAGTAAACGGGCCGACAGTAAAACCAATATTTGTTTGAAAATAAGTATTATTGATATCGGTTTGACCCCCAGATGAATTTCATCTCTGCGGGGAAATGGCAAAAGCCAGAGAATAACAAAAAGAAATTAGAAAGCAAAAATACGAAGCTATAACTGGAGCATCATGGCTGACTGTTGATTATGGATGAACATGTCCAAGTCTCTGGCCAATAGCCAATCTATTTCGACAATCTCTATGACTGCAGTATCTTTCCTCACCCAACCAAGCCTTTTCTTAGCCGCAATTGATAAACCATAAATTTTGTTCTGCTAAACCTCTCCAATGCCAGACTCTGACCTTAACTATATATTTCTTTTTTCCCCTTTTTTGCAAGAATGATTTAATGCTGCTTTGATTCAAAAACAAGAGCCTTTTTTTCACATAGAGCCTCATTTTGATATTTGGAATTTAGCTTTGACATGTTCACTTGCAAACATTCGGTTCTCTTTTATGCATATCCATTTTATAACTTTCATAATCCTTTTTTTTTTATTTTTAAAAGTTAGGAAACATCCCAAAGATTATATATGAGTTCATTTTTTATTTTAAAAATACAACTCGTAAGTTTGGACAGCAGAGCAAGATTCAGTAATGTTTATCTCATAAAAAATGGTCTGTATTAACAGTGTAAACTTAAATAAAATATATTCAGGTATAAAAGATTTAAATAAAGTTTTAACAATTCTAGTATTTATATAAGTACACGTTGTCATTGACTTTTAACCATGATTGGTTATAATGAACAGGTAGGCAATTAATCAGGTCATAAGTCAACTGGTAATTAATTTATCTTTCTTTAAGCATTATTGTACTTTTTTAAAAATTTTATTTAATAACTAGCAGTAGAGCCTGGCGTTGCCCGGGGATGTTACAGTAAGAGATAAATCAAGTATCGACCATCATAAAGACTGAAAAATAAAATTGACAAAGATTATTGTCTAAGGTTGACGGACACGCATGTCTTAATTAGTTTTTTTTTGTTTTTTTTGTTTTTTTTTTGTTTGTTTTTTTTTATGAAATGGTCAAACCCAAACTCAAACAACAACATTGTTTTCAATGGTTATCAGTCTACCGATTGAATAGAATTTTATTATAAACAATTGTCTTGTAAATGGAATTTTTAAAGCATTCTGAATGTAAAAATAAAGAAAAAAGTGTGCAAGACAATAAGAAACACTACCTGCCAAAAAAAAAGAGAAGTTTTGTTGAAATCGGTTGAAAAATGTAGGAAATCTGATCCCATATATAAACGAACATACACACACACACACACACACAAACAACCTGGGTTCTATAATAAGTATAACTCGATATGAGTTGTCCCCCTTTCATTCTTGCGATGCCTCTTAATCGTGTTTTCAAATTGAATTCATTCAAAAACAATTGTGTTTTTCTAATTTTTGGCGCTGTCAGAACCACCGCAAGGTAATTTTACGTAGTCCTGTGAAGTTTTGTTGAAATCGGTTGAAAAATGTAGGAAATCCGATCCAATATATAAAAACACACACACACACACACACACACACACACGCACACACACACACACACACAACCTGGGTTTTATAATAAGTATGATTATATTGTTTTTTCTATATTTAATACAGTTTGTATCATCTATTTTGTATCATCTCTGCGCATGTTTTGCTTCTCATTTTTACGTTCGTCAGGTTTAAGTCAAGTCTACATTCTACAGTACCATTGTGGTAAATTTCCTTTGTTACTCCTCCTCATCTTTCTCTTCTTCTTCTCTTTCAAGTTGTAAGTCAATGGCCTGTATGCTATTTTTTCACTTTCACTTTCTTTATATCATTCTTTCTTTCAAGTTCTCTCTTTCTATTTCTTTCTCTCTTTTACTTTCTCATTTTCTCTTTCTTTCTCTCTTTTACTTTCTCATTTTCTCTTTCTTTCTCTCTTTTACTTTTTTCGTTCTTTCTGTTACTTTCTCTTTCTTTCACTTTCTATTTGATTCTCATTCACTTTAACTTTTTCTTATTCCCATTTAGTTTCACTTTCACTTTCTTTCTCTCTTTAACTTTTTGATTCATTCTTTTTTTTCAATTTCATTTACAGTTTTCCATTTTTTTTTACACTTTCTTCTTTCTCCTCTACTTTCACTTTTTCTTATTTCCTTTTCTATTTCTTCCCCTTTCTATTTTACTCTCTTTCATTTTTCTTTCCCTCCTTCTTTTTCTTTTCTGTTTTTATTTTCCTTTCTTTCATATTCTATTCTGTTCTCTTTCACTTTGTCACTTTCATTTTTTGTTTCTTTTGCTCTTTGACTTTCTCTTTCTTTCATTTCCTATTTCATTTTCTTTCACGTTCTCATTTCCAGTTTTTCTTTCTTTTATGTCCTCTTCCTTCATTTTCTCTTTCTTTCACGTTCTATTTTATTCTTTTTATACTTTTTCTCACTTTTTGCTCTTTCAGTTACACTTTCTTTCTGTCTTTCATTTTATCTTTCTTTTTATTTTTATTTTGTTCTCTTTCACTTTCTCACTTTCATTTTTTTTTTCTTTATTTCTTTCTCTATTTCCCATTTTCTATCTTTTTGTCTTTCACTTTTTTTTTTTTCCACTTTTTTTTCTCTTTCGGTTTCATTCTCTTTCAGTCTCATTCAATCTTTCTTTCTTTTCATTCATATCACAAATATATATTTTTCTGTTTGTATATACTTTTTTGCTTTCTTTTATTTATTCTACATTTTTCTTTTCATATTTCCTGTTACCTTTCTTTTTTCTTTCATTTGACGAACATCCAGCTTCGTTTTCTAGTTTTAATTTCAATATTTGGTGTTCTTTTTTATGTTCTCTTTTATTTGCATCATTTTATGGCTTTTTTTTCTCTTTTGTTTGTTTATTTCTTTTCTTTCTTTTCTAAGTAAATGTTGTATTCTTTCCTTCTTTCACTCACTATTTTCATTTTCTTTCTTTCTTATCTAAATATATGTTGCATTTTTCCTTTTTTCATTCATTATTTTCTTTTTCTTTCTTACTTTCTTTCTTTTTTCTCTAAATATATGTTGCATTCTTTCCTTTTTTCATTCATTATTTTCTTTTTCTTTCTTTCTTTCTTCTCTAAATATACGTTGCAATCTTTTTTCTTTCATTCACTATTTTCTTTTTCTTTCTTTCTTTCTTTCTTTCTTTCTTTCTTTCTTTCTTTAATAATCCGTTGCATTCTCTCCTTTCATTCACTATTTTCTTTTTCTATCTTTCTTTCTTTCTTTCTTTCTTTCTTTCTTTAATATATGTTGCATTCTTTCGTTTTTTCATTCATTATTTTCTTTTTCTTTCTTTCTTTCTTTCTTTTTTCTCTAAATATATGTTGCATTCTTTCCTTTTTTCATTCATTATTTTCTTTTTCTTTCTTTCTTTCTTCTCTAAATATACGTTGCAATCTTTTTTCTTTCATTAACTATTTTCTTTTTCTTTTTTCTTTCTTTCTTTCTTTCTTTCTTTCTTTCCTTAATATACGTTGCATTCTCTCCTTTCATTCCCTATTTTCTTTTTCTTTCTTTCTTTCTTTCTTAAATATATGTTGCATTCTTTCCTTTTTTCATTCACTATTTTCTTTTTCTTTCTTTCTTTCTTTCTTTCTTTCTTTCTTTCTTTCTTAAATATATGTTGCATTCTTTCCTTTTTTCATTCATTATTTTCTTTTTCTTTCTTTCTTTCTTTCTTTTTTCTCTAAATATATGTTGCATTCTTTCCTTTTTTCATTCATTATTTTCTTTTTCTTTCTTTCTTTCTTCTCTAAATATATGTTGCAATCTTTTTTCTTTCATTCACTATTTTCTTTTTCTTTCTTTCTTTCTTTCTTTCTTTCTTTCTTTCTTTCTTTCTTTCCTTAATATACGTTGCATTCTCTCCTTCTTTCATTCACTATTTTCTTTTTCTTTCTTTCTTTCTTTCTTTCTTTCTTTCTTTCTTTCTTTCTTAAATATATGTTGCATTCTTTCGTCCTTGCATTCACTATTTTGTTTCTCTTTCTTTCTTTAAAATCATATCACATATATGTTTTCCTGTTTCTGTGTACTTTTCAGAGATTCCAAGATAGATTTGACCAAAGTTCTTCTATGCGATTGACATAATGATTACTGTCCTGGAATTAAGCAGACACCAAAGATAATAGCTAAAAGTTGAAAAATATCTTCACTAGAAGCTCATATGAATAAAAAAAAATTACATTGTACTTAGATACAGTTACAATAATTGATTCAGATATAATGGTAAAAATATATTCACATGGTTGAAAATAAACAAATTTATCTGCGTGGGTGGTTGGTTAGCATAATGGTTATCATCTTGAAAAGTGGAGTCAGCAATCAAGAGTTCAAAAGTGTCTACAATGTAAAAACATTTACATGGGGGAAGAGAACAAGTGATCTAAAAACCCAGACCTATGAACACAAGAGAGACTTGTGCTTAGACAGACACTCTAACTCTCTTGTCTTATATTGAAATGATGTGGGACATAGCTTTGATTTCACTAATGCCAAAAAATTAAAAAAAGAACATAATAACATAATGGTATCCTCAGCATCCTTCTGTAGAAATTTCAACTGTTTCTTCCCGATGTTAAGTATAAGTTTCCTTTTTATTTCCATTTTCTCTAAAACCTCGTCATTGCTCACATGTTCAGTCCATGGTATCCTCAGCATCCTTCTGTAGAAATTTCAACTGCCTCTTCCTGATGTTAAGTATAAGTTTCCTTTTTGTTTCCATTTTCTCTAAAACCTTGTCGTTGCTCACATGTTCGGTCCATGGTATCCTTAGCATCCTTCTGTAGAAATTTCAACTGTCTCTTCCTGATGTTAAGTATAAGTTTCCTTTTTATTTCCATTTTCCTTAAAATGTTGTCGTTGCTCACATGTTCAGTTCATGATATCCTCAGCATCCTTCTGTAGAAATTTCAACTGTCTCTTCCTTATGTTAAG